CTCCCAGCAGCACTGCTCTCCACCCCTTGGGCCCCAGGCCTCCTCTCACTCCTCAGCCCTTCCCGACTCACACACAGCTGACCGTCTCTCAGCTCTGTCCCTACTAAGCAGGGACAGGAAGCAGGGCAGCCCTGGCCTGAGAAGAAGCCTGCACCTGCAGCAATCCTCCTCCTCCACCTGAGAAGACTCTGCAGGAGGGAAGGGCCAGCTTAGAGGCTGGGGGAAGTAGAGGCTCTGTGGCAAGGGTCTCCACTCAGATCTGCTGGGGAGGGCCACGTGTCCCCTTCAGGCAGCTGAAGCAGGAAGGGCTCTGACTGAGCTCTGCTGTGTGGCCGCAGCCCCCACAAACCCGGCTGCTCACCAAGGGAAGGTGACCAGGATACTAGTGTCCAATTATTTCCCAAGCAGCTGATCTTTCTGCCAATGAAATAGTCACGGGGAGGCCAGGAGCCCTGCAGCTCCTGGGGGAGAGGAGAAACCCAGGCTCAGAGCAGAGCTCTCCTTCCTAAGACCTTCATGGTGGCACACAAGCCAGGGTCCTCAGCCCACCAAGGTCCCTCCCGCTCCAGCATTATCTGAGAGCAAATCAGGGACCTCACAGGGCCCTGAGCCACGTGTACCTCTTGTTTAAAAATCACAACCTGGAACCATTATTCTGTCTAAAATCTAACAATGATTCTAGTATCATCTACTGCCCAGTCCAGCATCTCGTGCCCGCTCCCTGACTGTACAGCAGGGCCTACACAGGGTGGCGTGTGTGGGTGGTCTCTCTTTGCTCCCTGGACCCTCTGTCCAGGATGGGGGGTCATGCTCCTCCCCCACCTGCCAGGTAAAGCAGGTTCCTACCTTAGAGCAGCTCAGCAGTTTCAGGCGTGCGCAGGACATGCAGAGACAGCACAGAGTGCCTGCGCCCAGGCCATTCCCCAGTGCCACTGACTTCCATCCACACAGGACACTGGTCACAACTAGTGAACTGAAATTCATATGGTATTATTAGCAAAGTCCACTCCCAGGTTTCCCCTCAGTTTTTATCTAATGTCCCTTTTCTGTACCAGCACCTCACCCAGGACGAAGGACATTGAGTCAAGCCTCCTTATCCCCCCGGTCAACTGTGACTGATTTTTTTCCATTTAAAACAAAAAACAAGACTTCAAAATAACGAGCTAATGTCCCTGCGACCATGCTGGGGACGGTGGTCTTTTTGATGTTTCACTATGTCGCTGTCTTTTTCCTTTGAGTGCTGCAGTTACCCTGACTATTCTTTACAAAATTTTTAATTGCAATTTAAAAATACTATTGTCCACCATCTGGAAGTCCAGGGACACAAAACATGCTCCGGGGCAGTGCAGCAGATGGCCAGGGCCTCCTCCCCCCGCATGACCGAGGCTCTGTCCCGTGAAGCCCCTGCCCGGCAGGCCCGTCTCCCTTCCTGGTGCTCATCCTGGTGTCTGGTGTGCTTCACCCAGCATAATGTCCTCGAGGTCCCTACTGTGGATCGTAGGTCAGAGTGTCCTTTTCAAGGCTGAGCAGTACTCCTCTGTGTGGCTCTGCTTTCCCTTGGTCAGCCATGGTCGAGCCGGAGCCCCCTTCTGGCTGCTGTGGACCTGGGGTGCAGGGTCTCCTGGGGATCCGTGCTGGAGCGGGGCGCACTGACTGCTTCCTCAGCGAGGCCATCCCTTGCTCCAGTGGTACGTCCACTGGTCGTGATGGTGGCTTGACTCACAGCTGGCTTTCCTTTGCTGGCGTTTTCTTTAGGATTTTAGTCTTTGGGAAATTTGGGTTTTATTAGACTTATTTCTTCTTTAAATGTCTGGTAGAACTCGCTAGTGAAGCTATTTGGATCAGCATTTTCTTTGAAAGAAGGTTTTAAATAATTCTTTGTATTAATTACAAAATCCTGGGTTTTGCGTGTGTGTGTGTGTGTGTGCGTGTGTGTGTGTGTGTGTGTGTGTGTGTTTTGTTTCAGTAAATTATATATTTTTTGGTTTTATTCCTAGAAATTTTTCTGGGAACTAATTTCATCTAAGTTGTCCGATGCAGAGGACAGAGCTGTTTGCGATGACCCTCCTCATCCTCTACTGCGGGAGGGGCTGCGGGTTCTTCTTTTTCCTTCCCAATGATCTGAGTTACTGCTTTTCTCATTTCTGTCTTGGTCAGCCTCACCCAGAGACTAATCAGTGTTTAGTTCTTCAAACAGCCAGATTTGGCCCGTTCTGAGCCCCTAAGGCACCGCTCCCTCCCCTGTGCATCTGTCCTCTGCCTGGCTGACACCCACGCTCACCTTCAGCACTGCCCCCAGGGCTGGGGATGGGTGCTCCTTGTGTCTCCAGATCCCCCTTTTCTATGTGCCTGCTTAAGGATGGGGACCTTGCTCTAAGTCCTGCTTGGCTGCACCCCACGGTTTCGTAGTTGCTTGGTTAAGAGTGTTTTCTAATTGATCCCCTTTTGACTCTTCTTTGTCCCCAGGAATTACCCACCACTCTTTCTTAATTCCCAACCATAAGGGCTTTCCAGCTAGTGGTTTGCTATGGATTTCTTCTTTTTTAGTTGCAGATGGACACAATACCTTTATTTATCTGTTTTTATGTGGTGCTGAGGATCAAACCCAGGGCCTCACACACGCTAGGCCAGCGCTCTACCACTGAACCACAGCCCAGCCCCTGCTATGGAATTCATTCGGTTGCACTGTGGTCAGAAGGTGTACTCTACGGCCATCTGTTAAGGGTGTTCTTCAAATCTGTGTACACAAAAACTCGTGTGTGTTGGATCTCCAATGGGTTGAGGGAGATGTGTTGAAGTCTGGATTGTGGGTTTGTCTGGGTCCCCGGAACCTGCCCTGTGTTGGCCATTTCCTGAAGCCCATCTCATCTGCCCTCCTGCTATGGCTCTGCGGGCTTCTCTGTCCCTCACTGGCCTGGTGAGCCTCGTTCCAGCCTTTCCTCTGGGCCTTCCTCTTCTTCTCTAAGTGTCTGGCGCCTGTGCCCGGGCTGGACATGGGCAGCCTTCTCTGAGCTGCTTGCGGTTCTGACATCCAGCTCCTGTTCATCTGGCCCACTCACAGTCAGTGAGTTGTTGATATTTAGGGGTTAATTTTGTTCTCTCCTTTCTCCTTTCTCATTGATGGTCCTTTTCCTTCTGTGTGAATTTGGAGAAGGCACTGGGAGGGGAGCCCGGGGTTGGGGCTCCAAGGACAAGCGAGGTCAGCAGGACGTCCTTGGTTGTGATCCTGCAGGTAGGACCCGCCGC